AATGTGTTACGATTTCGTGTTACTATTAGTGTCATCGGTGACTCATCGGTAAACAATGAACAATACCCGTCACAAAATACATGAATCTAGTGCTTGGTGGGTAATAATGGACCCAGTGCGGATTGGAGGGTGATAATGGACCCAGTGCGGATTGGAGAGTGATAACGAACCCAGCGCGAATTGGTGGGTGATAACGGACCCATTGCGGATTGGTGTATGATAACAGACACAAATCTTCAGGTTAAGTTTATGATTTTCAGATCATTGGAGCTAAAGAAGTTTCATTTCAGTCGTGTCGGGTCATAAGCACACTCGCTTTTTTTTTGAATAAGTATGAAACTACTTACTTTCATTTGAAATAGCATACCTAACGTGAACAATTCCTAATGCAAAAAATATGTAATTTAAGAACTTCAAGATGACTTCGTTTACTACACTTTTTCTACAGTGTATCTCGAAGTGACGTTTCAGCTAAGATAACACAAACAATTTGGTAAACAAGCTAATAAAACACTAAAGAACAATAGCATAATACTTAAAATAATAAATAACTAATCAAATATATTTAGTTTTTGTAACAAGAATTGAGTAACTGACAAAGAGTAACGCCATCGTAGCACTATTATAACTTATTGTAATTTTTCAAAACTGACACGCATTATAACTTAATTAATTTTGTATTCTTTTACATTAAACTGTACATAATTAAGACATAAGTATTGTGAGTAGGAAACTGCCTTACAAGTTCCTGAAAATACTCAAAGTAGATTAATTAGTGCACCGTATTTTGTAACTTTTCGGCGATAAATTAAAACACGAAACACGTTATCGTTTTGCGTACCTACCTAACACGTTATCGTGCGGTAAATTGTTAACACGGAATTCAAATAAGTAGGAAGGATGGTGTATGAAAAATCGCTTGAAATGTGCCTGTATATTTGAAACGTAAAATCAATGGACACAATCAATTCAATTAGTTTGGTATGGTTTGTCGATGCTAATATGGATGACGCTAATTTAATTTTAACTATAGACCGTACCGTAATATAATTAAAGAAATGTAAGACTTTGTTGACTGAAAATAAACCAATAAAATATAGGTTGTACCTCGCTGATATAAAAAATCTAAATCGATATTTCAAACGTGTAATCTAGAGCGTTCAATACGAGGGCGGGATGATAAGTAACTAGCCACTGCTATTGAAAAAGTTAAAATAAAAAAAATGTGTTTTTTAAATTCCTATCTCTGGCCAATTTTGTTCTAAATTTGAATTTTGTGGCTTGAAAATTTTATTGATTTTTTGACATTTGAAAATATATTTTGTCAACTGTTTTCAAAATGGATAAAATTGAACAAAGAGCTGTAAACAAAGTTTCTTCATATGAAGAGGAAAGATTTCTATGACGAATTAAAGAATGCTTTGTGTGAATGTACTCCTTCTTATGCCACAGTAAAAAACTGGGTGGCTGAATTTAAACGCGGTCGTACATGTGTCCAAGATGAAGCCCGCCCGGACGTCCAAAAAGCGTCACGACTCCGGAAATGGTCTTGAAAGAACATGATATGGTTTTAGCAGATCGACGATTGAAGTTATCTGAAATAGCTTACACTACAGGTATCTCAAAAGAACGGGTACATCATATCCTAAAAGAGGAATTAAATATGAAAAAGTTATCGGCCCGTTGGGTGCCACCATTCATTACGCACGATCAAAAAAGGATTCGGGTGCAAAACTCAAAAGCATGTCTGGACCGTTTTCAGAGTAATAAGGCTGATTTTTACGTCGATTTGTAATAACAGATGAAACATGGGTGATGAACCCATGAACAATTCCACGCCAGAATCAAAAATTCAATCAAAATGGACTCAGTCGGGATGCCCGGATCCAAAAAAAGACATGGCTGTAAAGTCGGCTGGAAGTGATGGCTTGCGTCTTTTGGGATGCAGACCGGATCTGGATGATAGATTACCTTCCTAGAGGTCAAAAAATAATGGAGAATACTATGCTAATCGTCTAGATAAGCTTCATCAATGTATTCAGCAAAAACGACCAGGTTTTAGAACGAAGATGGAATAAGTGCGTAGAGGTTCACGGAGACTATGTCTAAAAATAAAATTAATTTTATCACGGAAAGTTAAGTGTTTTCTTATTAGGCTAGCTACTTATCCCACCCTCGTACATTGCAAGGTGCAAGTGTAATACTGAAATACCATTTCCTTAAGCGTTACGCCCTTATAAGGATTTTTATTCATTTTTGGAAATATCAATAATGTGCGAGAAACAGCGCATTATTGCTATTTCCTAAAAAATTTAAGCAAGAATCAACAACGCCTGCGCAAGTAACACTGGCAAATTTTATTGGAAGCAACAGAGCTTTTTAAGCTTAAAGCCAAGTTGGGAGTAGGTAAAGAAATTGATCATAGTAATTGAATGAGTAAAGAAAAACTTTATATCTACCCAGTTACTTACAAACTTTTATATTCCAAAGACTATTTCATGATTAATAGTATTAACTTTGCTTAGAAGGTCCATAATCCTGTAACATCTCGTCTTGATAAATGGCAAACTGGAAAGGGGCATTGTAATCAAATTGTTGCTCATCCGCGTGACTTAATTCTTGGGAAAGTTTGCAACTAAATTGAACTAAACTTTTCACAACTGATAATTGAAAAGGAGTGCCTATGATAGCGACACGCTCCGAAACTTCTTGAATGGTTAAAGGAAGACTGACTAGAACTATTTGAACATCGTATAGATGTGTTACTTGTTTACATCAGTTTACAGCTTTGTACAGATGAAAATCTAGGTTCTTACTTATAATAATATAATAATAATAACAAGGGATCGAAGGCGCGGGTGGTTAGCGCGTTTAAACTTTCACAGTGGTCGGTCAATGGATGGGTGACCAAAAATCTTCTATCTCGAGTTCCTCCGTGCTTCGGAAGGCACGATAAGCCGTTGGTCCCGGCTGCATCTGCAGTCGTTAGCACCCGCCAATCGACACTGGGCCCGCGTGGTGAGTCATGGCCCAATCTCTCTAGTCCATCCATAGCAAAGGCCTGTGCCCCAGCAGTGGGGACATTAATAGACTGATGACGATGTTGATGATGATGAATAATTACAATATGTATTTATATTTCAAGAACCTGTCAATAGTTATAGTCTTATAGTCTTTGTATTGTAGATAGTATTAAATGAAACAAAGCTTCAACGGTATAAATGCGTTAATTTATTGTTACCAGACGTTTCGCATCCTTTTCAGGCTGCGTCGTCAGATTTATTTAATGAGTGGTGTACGTGAAAACCTAAGAAAAAAATATGATAGTATTATATTAATCTGTACATACTAATATTTAAAAGATATAAGGTTATTATTATTAGTTAGTTTTTTCTGGAACTACTCTATCAATTTTGAATATTCTTTTACCAGTAGCAAGCTACAATAGGTATTTATTGTTGAGTGCCGTACAATTTTATCGCGTCAAAATTTGACCAGGGTGGGTCGCTAGTACCCACTCCATATTATGCCTAGTTTCGTTTAGTTTGTCAGTGTATTAAGCAGCAAAATGCACACATCATTTAGAACGTTTATTTGACAATCAGTCAAGATAAAAATGGGTAGGTAATTTCTGATAAAAAATATAAGAATTGGTTCTTATATTTTTAGTAGAAGTAGTAGAAAAAATGCTTTTTCAATTTGGTATTGCTTTAAATTTATGTAAGTAAGTCATAGGATCATAAGTACCGAAGAAAATAAGTTGGTTAAATTATAATAAAGGGGCAGGAAAATACTGTAAAACGATACTGAAATAGAATTTAAGTAGATTTAATTATGCATAATTCCTCCTGTTTTGTTTTACTAATTATATTATAGGTACCTATATTGATCAACAGTTTTATATATTTTTTGTCTTGTCTATTATGGTAACCTGTTCATACCATAAAAATGACAGATAAACATTACTACAAATCTTATTAGAAGATCGACGACGACGACGACGATTAGAATGGTTTTTGTTTGTCCGCTTTGCTCTCAAGAAATGAAAGTCAATTGACTTCGCTTTAGGTAGGTACGCATTTTCCGCAGGCAGTCTTTTCACAAACTCACGACAACATGATCACAAACAAAATTTATTGAAATATAAACACGGCAACATCTGCTAGCTGGTAAAAATACCTGTTCGGTAGTATTTTCCCTTTCAGTATTACGGAAAACGAAAAAGGAGAAAACAATTTTACAAGTTTGGTAGTAAAACGGAATAAATAAGATAACTTAACAGAAAACTTTGTTAATAAAAAGTAAAACAGTGTTGAATAATTTAATCCTTAGTTTCTTTCAATAAAATGCTTTTAATGAAGAAAAAATCTTTAATGAATGCTGTAATATTTTTGTAGGTAAAAATAATTTTGTAGGTAAATATTTATAATAAGTTAAGTTATCAGACAAGTTTTACGCTTAATTAGTAAAAATTAACAAGTTAAACGCAATTTTTTAAATTTAAACGTTTTCAAGCTTTCAAATTCGTTATACTGAACTCGAAAGGTTGAAAACGTTAACTAACGGTCACGCGTCATTTTGAAATACATAACGCTTTCTAATTAGTCGAATAAAATATATATAGTAACCTCTGTGAGATATATAACAGCTGGTGCTGTTACAAAACTTGAACATTGCTGTTTCTTTCTATGATTATACTAATTCAAGTAAATAAATATTTTTTTAATTTTCTAATTAAAAATCTGGAGGCCAATCGCCTAACGGAAATGCTTTGGGAAACGCTAACGCTTACGATTTTATATTGTGATTTCTAGCCGCCTGAGGTTTTCGAATACCTCACGCTCATTTTTTTTAATATTGTTATTACCAATGCAAAAGAAAAAGAAAAGCGCGAGGCATTTGAATACCTCAGGCGGCTAGAAATAACAAAATAAAATCGTAAACGTTAGCGTTTTCCAAAGCATTTCCATTAGGCGATTGGCCCCCTGGTTAGAATATTCTGCAATTCATTGCGTCGCACGCATTAAACGGGTTATGTAAGCTCTAACAACCATTCGCCCCATTCATCAGGCAGGGGTATCCAGAGGCCGGCCGTTGACTTAACTAACGAATCGACAGTAGACACTCAACCAACGCGACGACGCGATCGGACAATCAATCTACCAACCGATCAGCAAACGCGAGCTGCGCACGAGTGAGCGAGTGACAGACAAGACGGTTCTTTTCCGCGATTGGCTGCATCGCACATTCATACTATATTTATTCGCAGCGTGGCAGCACTGTCGCAACTGCTACCAACTTCAAGTCGCAGCGGCTTGTTTACGCAAACGTTACACTAGTTATGTTTTGAACGGTTTCTGTATTAGTGTTCTTGGTTCAAAACTTTGATTAGCCGGTTTTATCAATGGAAGTGACAAGTGTGATGCATTGTGTGTGTATAAAGAAATATTGTACTCTTTTTATTCCATGTAATAAAACGTTATGTTGTGTTAGACAATGAAAGTGTGGTTATGTTGACAATCAAACTTATTGGCGGTTAACGACAATTTTTATTCAGATGAGGTTATTTGCAGTGTTTCATATATGGTCACAGTATTAAATGCAGTTTGTGACGACCATGCGTAATATGTTGTGTGACCCTGCCACCAGCTGGTTCGCTTTACCGTGAGATCTCGCAGAGCCCGGTCATTGATAAAAGACCTTCGACAGTTTAATGCGATCGACTGCTCGCTTTTGGCCCGTTTCAGCGTCTAACATTCACCTTGCTAGTGAAACAGCTGTTCGTTTACCAAATTACGGGTTATAAAACAACACAATCATAAATTACAACTAAGTACATTAAATAAACATCCTTAAATCGGAAGACAATTTAGCAAGAACACTTACTAAATTGACAATATTACCTTACAGCGTGATTAATAAGGCACCTACCTACACTGTGATGTGACACGCACAGAATGAGAAAAGTAATTTTAACCCAAACATTAACCATTCTGAAAAAAATATTTAAAGACACTTAATATTTTCAATTAAAAAAGCATAAATTTTCGGACTCTACTACTAATAAAATAAATCATGAACAAATTATAAGCACCATTTGGACTATTAATCTGTTTCGATCGAAAACCACCAATGAATCCATAAAACAGCAGGCAGAAACCATTCGCCGAGCAGTAAATGCGATACTTCCAATCAATCCAACAGAAACTCAATATTTCAATCTGGGCTCCAGTTGGGCTAAGTTTTACAAGCCCGTCAGGCAATTATTTCAAACTGTCGTCATCGTGTTTCTAATTAATTCTCACGCCTAATAAATTGTAACTAGGTTGTTTGGTCATCCAATATTTACATTAGCACATGCTTTTAAATCAAGTTAATATAGTCGTTTATGTTAACTTCTTCGTTTAGAGAATGCAAAAGCAACCAATTTGAACAAGACATTTAATAAGTGACTTGAAGATTTCTACACCAACATTGCAGGCAAAATCCATATATTGTACCAGATGGATATAGAAATTTCCTTTCGATGATACAAAAATATCAGGAACTTTTGAGGAGACTACTATTAATATCAATTAAGTAAATGAGCATGAAAATTTATAACAATGGTGTCGATTCTGGCGTGATTCTCTAAACTTAAAACTAAATTTAACATCAGTCTCTCCTTTTCATTCTATATAGAGAATGTCAAGGATACACTGTTGTCAAATTTAAGTTTAGATTTAGAGAATCATGCGAGAATCGACACCAATACATTACTTTTAATATCTACCGGGAAGAAATCTAGACCCATTTAAAAGCGAATTCCGATGTTCTTTGACGTTATTTTATTGTTAGATTTTTATTTATCTAATTCATGGTGACATATTAATAGGTAGCTCTCTTATCTACACAATAGCTTTATTGTGAGCACGAAAGAATGAGCTGATTAAACAAATTTCGTTAAACAATATTGATAACAGCTTGCGTTTATTTAAGAATCAAAACTCCATGGTGACGTTAATTTTACTTAACTGTAAAATAAAGTTTTGAAAAGGAAATAATAAATGGAATTCGATTCGCCGAAAAGCGAATAAGCGTATGATTTGAATGAGACTAGAACCGGACCATCAAAAGGTATATATCCACTTGATCGCACATCGAAGTTTTGCAATCACCAAACCCGAAACAGTTTTGGTTGCAAAAGCCGCTAAAGGGATTGAAACACTTTGCTGCGAATTAGATTTTGATTGCCCGTAAGTCGTTCCGAAGACAAATTGCCCATTAAATAATAAAGTATTCTTGATTCGGCGCGCTGATGGAGATTTAATGATATTTAACAGTCACCTGGATTGTATAATAAGATATGTTTTTGCTGTTTACACCTCAATAATGGAGAGTTAATTTTGAAATCTACAGTAAGGACAACACATAAATAACTCGACTTATATTCCATTTAATTACAATGCAAGATTCTAGCTTACAAATTTAATTATAAAATGGCACGGACACATGTCTTTTACATATAATAATAAACATAAACAAAAAAGTCGAAAGTTTGTCCGTGAAAATTTTATATTAAGCTAAAGTTACTATGCACACTTGGCATTGTTATTTCAATATTTTTGTCCACGTAACAACGCTACTAGTCTTGTTTGTTTCAAAGAAAGAAACTATCTTATAGTTACTTCCAAAACACTTCAATTTGTGAGTAATTATGTTAGGAATTGTTGATGATATCGCCATCGTTGGTTCAAAAATGTCAATTAAACTTCAGTTATTACTGTATTTAACAGTAAAAAGAACCATTCTCAAATAAATGGTCGTAAGTAAACACGGTCGTTGTAACAAGGACGGCGGAATCGCGTGATAACTCTCAATAAAAGTTATTGTATTCTTATCTTTCTATGTGAAAGCTCTCGTTAAACAGTTTAGCTGTTTGAATAGTCTTGATATAGCTCCTCGGTTACGAATTATCTCAGATAGCTGGCTCTCAATAATGAAATTGTCATTTAACATTATTTACTACACATATTTAGGTAAGAATATTGTGTTTAAATAAAGAGAAAGAGAATAAAAATGCTTCAAATGCATCTCATCAAAAAGTTTAGAAATACTTGCTCATTACAAACTTTTATCAAGTCCCTGTTGCGTTCCATAAAACCTTCACACATCTCTCAATAACTCATTTCGAAAAGTGCGTCTTTATGCTACAAACACGACGACGAATGTTCCACTTTACGACTGCAAAACAAAAAATGGCGGAAACACAAAGGGATAGGGGAGAGGTCCCGCCGTCCCACTCAACAAGGAAGCACCTGCTACCTGACTCTGGAATGTTGGCAGTACTATAATATTCTTGAATGAACTTTTTTCTTAAGTTTTTGTAAATGGAACTTTGATGGGCTGTTCTTTTTGTCTTGTATGTAAAAGTTTATACTTAACATTTGGTTTTCGTGAAACTATTATGGACAGCAAAAAATTGACATTTCTAATAAACTGAGATAGCTATGATATGATAGATAATTTTATGCTTTAAAGCAGGAGCTATTTCTGTAGCTAATTCTTACTTCTTTTCTATATTACCTGAGTAGCTATATTGTTATAACCTTGGATTTTATTCCATCAGTAGGTATCATTCGAAAATTAACCGTTATTTTCTGTAGCAAGCTGCTTTTGCTCGAAACATCCCTTCTTTTAAACGGAAATGTCACGCCCATGCTGTCCATTTTAAATAGGAGAAACAGATTTTTTAAAATCAAATGAGATTACAATCTAAATCCAAATATAACCAATAGTTCATTTAGAAAAACCTAAATAAAATGTTGTATGGCTTGTCTTTACAAAGGTATAATAATGTCGACATTTATGAATATAACCGAAATAAAAATTAAAAAAGTAAATCGAGCATTTATTGAAATCCAATTAATTTCAGGTTCCAGCGATACAATATTTTTCTGTATAAAAATGTTCAAGGGTGGTATTGCCACATGAATACTTATTACGTAGAAAGCAGGCGTCCCATTTTTCCCACCTCCAGCTGTCAGCTTTATCATGCATAATTCGTTCTGAACCCTGCCAAAGTCAGCAAAATACATTATGAGTTTACTTACAAAAAAAAACATTTATTTATGCTTATGAATAGCTCGATTGGATTAACGGTTATTGTGTTCTACTTCTATACATTATAAAATTTTATGTTTCTTGTGAAGAACTGAAAAGGGATACTACGGATTTGATGGTGTATACATACCCTTATTTGGTTATTGTCCGCGGCTTCGCTCGCGTTTATTTGGTATTCAGTGAATGAATGAAAGTCAAACTCAGTCAAATAATAAAAACTTTATTAAACTTCTTCATAGACAATGTTCTTCTGATTTTTGCTCCATAAAAAACTTTGAACGCTCGCTTTACCTATTTAGGGGTGAGTTTTGGAAAATCCTTTCATAGCGCACGCTTACATCATAATAGCTTAAAGTGTGCCAAATTTCAGCGCAATCCGTTCAGTGGTTAGAGCTGTGCGTTAATAGATCCGTCAGTCAGCAACGTTGCCTTTTATATTATACAGATACTTCCACAATAATTCCTACAGTACCTTATATAAAACTGAATTGTAAAATATTAAATTGCACATATTTTAATTACTTGTTTCCAAATATGGTAAAACGCTTTAAGACCATCCACTGTGTTTGCTGTCGCTGTCACTAAGATATTTACTGTTTCCGTATTTCCGGTGTAATGGTAGCCATACACACTAGAAATCGTTACGATCAGACTGTACAGTTCGAACGGAACAGTTTATCGTACGCGGCGTACGTATAGGAAACTGTGCAGTTTTATAACATACACGCTACGATTTATCGGTATCGTTCGGACGGTACAGTCTAATCGTAACGATTTCTCGTAGTGTGTATGGCTACCATTATAGTTGTTGATTTCATGTAATATTAGAAACACCTAAATTGATTTTATAACTTAGTTGAGTCTTTATATTTATGAATATGTTAATTCCAGCTGTGGCCCGCGGTGTTACCCGCGGTTTATTAGGGATATTTTACCGCATTAAAACGTAGCATTTGTGTTAAAAATCCAGGGTGTCAGGTAATTCCATACCAAATTTTATTAAAATCGCTCGAGCCGTTTAGACGTGATGAAGTAACAAACATACACACTCACAAACTTTCGCCTTTATAATATTAGTGTGATGTACATCACGCATACATGAGAAAAACAATATTCACGACATTTCGTGATAAGAAAATAAACGCATGAAAATGTCATACATAAAGTTAATACCTATAATTATAGAGAAAGAAACAGGATCGATACGCCCCAACAACTTAAAAGGTTGTATTGTTAATACTAACTACGAATTTACGAATTCCTGGTGATGCAGATATTTATGAACGGCTGTAATCACCTAACATTAGACAAAACAGCCGCCTTTGTGTTTCGGACTTGAAGTATTTATTATACGAACTCGGCTGGCTAAGACTCGGCCATGTGACTAGATAACGTCAAAATAATAAATTGATGGCCTAACAGTTCCTCTACTGCTAACTTGGACGATAATGAGCTGATTACTGTATTTCTTTTCTGCTATACCAACATGGAAGTAAACTAACTAGCTGAAAGTTGCCGGCAATAAATTACTCTCGAGTAAAGCTCGCAAGTTCTGCAAATTAATTTCCTCGGCGTTGCACCACCAAAGAACAACAGACGATGAAGTTTTGCAACTGTAAATGAATGCAAGGCAGTTTGAACTATTAAATACTTACTCTTATTTTTAATCATGGTAGTAAATGGATAGCATGATTGTTCAGCCAACATTTTGTTTGTCTTTCGGTGTGAATTAGAGCTTTTTTGACTAATTAAAAAATGGTGACTGAAGAAAAACTGTGCACAATTTCATGTTTAATAATAATAATGTTCTAGTGTTATATAAAAAAAAAGAGAAAAGGGTTTTGTGCCTAGCACGATATATAGACACGATAGAAATCCGCCCTGGAAATTGCTTTTAATTTTTGAATCGACACGGTTTCATATTACATATGTTTCTTCGAAAAGGGTATGATGAATTTTATCGTTTATAATTATTTCAAGCGTCCACATTTAACTTTATTACACGTTTGGTGTTATGTAATTAAAATTAAGTGTTCTTTTTGCATATCACTTATTTTCAATCTAAAGAAAATATAACTAGAAAAAATTCCACGCGGACCAGGCACTCGTTGCTGTTTTGACATACTTATTTCAGCATTTATTTTTCAGCTTTATAGAAGTAGAGCTAGTTTGTTATACAGGAAATATTTCTCAAAAACAAAAATAAAATATTGAAATTTCAAACCGAATTTTCAAGTACTTAGTGCAATGGATATCATGGTTATAGCAGTCGTGACAAGCCGATTACGAAATACCAAGTTTCGGATCATTAGTCGTGTATTCATTGTTTATATTATAAAAAACTATATTGCTTTGTTTTCCGCAGAAACGACCCTTTTTAACATTAATAGCAGAGATTAATTCTAAATTTAATACAAAATTGTTAACGATCATTTATAAACGAAAAGTTTCCCAAAGTAAAAATCTCACAATACATAATAATATCGGTCATTTCACAATAGTGTAACCGCACATTGTACAATCAAACTTCGTATGGGATTGCATAACATCACCATACTCGTACATGACTATACCACAAATCCAATTTGAATCGATCCATATCGATTGATTGATAGTAACGCTCATCGAGCCGACTTTATGAAAAGATCATTCAAATTAAAAATAATAGTATCTAGAATTATTTTGATTGGGTATGTGCTTACAACGGCATCCAAGACCTACCACTTTGTATTCCAAAAGGGTGATGCGTCTCCAGATAATATTACAATTTTACTACATATTACAACAACCCGCAATAATATAATTTAATGTTTGTAAAACTGATCATATCAAATCACGGTATTGGGTCGTCAACACCGTGACAAAAAATAATACCAATTTATATCCACAATTACGGTATGACGGGATTCTGGAATCATCATCATCATCAGCCTATTAATGTCCCCACTGCTGGGGCACAGGCCTTCCCTATGGATGGAATAGGGAGATTGGGCCATGACCCACCACGCGGGCCCAGTGCGGATTGGCGGGTGCTAACGACTGCAGACGCAGCCGGGACCAACGGCTTAACGTGCCTTCCGAAGCACGGGGGAACTCGAGATAGATGTTTTTTGGTCACCCATCCAATGACCGACCACTACGAAAGTTGCTTAACTTCAACCATCGCAGCCGAACGCGCTAACCACTTGCGCCATCGAGCTCCTCGATTCTGGAATACCGATATTAAAAAGCCCTAGCATTTCATCGTATTTAAAAAGCGTTATTTGTATTATACACCAACAAATTACTACACTACTACTGATGATAATGTGTATTTTATGTTATAAGCTTATGGCCCGCCTGATGGTAAGCGGCCACCATGGCGTATAGACCTTTGCTATACAAAAAAATATCACTCGCGCCGTTGTCTACCCTGACCCAATCCCCTAACGCGTGGAGCCCTTGAATCTTACCCACCGACAGAAACTCAACACCACCAAAAGGTAGTGTTATTTTACTGTGGTTTTCTGTAAGGTGGAGGTTACTTCCCCAGACGGGCGCTCCAATTCGAGCGGAAAATCCGCTATGACCTACCTGTCTTACCTTTTATTTACATTGATAATTTTATAATAAAACAAGCTGTCCCAGCGAACTTCGTATCGCCCTAAAAAAATAGGGGTTGGTGGTAGGAGGGTGAAAATTTAGGGTTGAATGTATTTTTGTATGATGTATCATAAAAATAAAAACAAAAAAAAATGTCCACAAAAAAAATTAAGGGTGGAAAAAGAGATGTTTTCCGATTCTCAGATCTACTGAATAGGCATATAAAATTTCACGAAAATTAGTCGACCCGTTTCGGAGAACTTAGTTCAATTACGCACACCGTGATACGAGTTTTTTTTGTATTATTTTGGCAACAAACAATCATATATATTTTACAAAAGTAGCTCATGTTAAACATTTTTTGTGAAATAGACCTAGCAGTGCCTAAACACAATATGAAAACAGATCTGAAGTTGGAAATGACATGGTCATAGTCAGCTAATAAAAATCCAAAAAATTGGATAAAATGTTGTAGTTAAAACCGTAGTTATTTTACCACTAGGTATTCAAACGGGATCAGATAATATCCATTTATTTATTGATAACATCTCACTTAATGTTGTTTAAATTGTTGAAAAAACCCTACGTTATTATGCAATTATTTAAAAGTAGATCTCGCCAAATATTAACTTTTAAATAATTGTAGAAGCTGTGTGTTTACAACACTTTTACTTTAACCAAAGTATATATAGATTTTCTTTAAAGCATACATTTTTCAATGGGTGTTGTATTCTTTTTCGAATTACAATGTGCTATTCCACGTGTGTGCCTTCTTTTTAGTTTCCTTAAATGAAAAACCTCATCTTGAAGGTCACTCAGTTCAAAATTAGCAAAATTTACATCGAGACTACGCTTTCACTCAAAATCACGTGAACTTATTCTTTACTAAGCCTTTGTACACAAAGAAAGTCTGAAACATGTAAAACTATTTAAATATGACGATGAATAATAATTTACAACACTAACATTGTTTGAGTGTATTAATAATATAAATAGATAAGTGCGTGCGAATGACGCTAGCGAAAAATGATTAGGTGCAAGGCGATCGACTTTTCACGTAGCAATATCCATAACCAATCATGTATGTTATTAATTCTGGGCGGCATTAATATCACCTTCATTGACTTCAATACACGTCAATAAAGCAAATATGTATTCTTTTTTTTTTCTAAAGTTGTTTCTTTAGAAAGAAAATAAAAATAGACTAACATTATAACCTCGTGCCATGGACGCGACCTTTAATTTGATTCACTATGCAACGTCATAGCACAACAAACAAATCCCGGTGACACGAGCGTTCCGTATCTGATAACTTATCAAATAATTACGATTGTGCAAATGAGAACAGTTTATCAGACGTATCAGCGACGCGAGACCGGGCTACTGCGATCTCTCGATTCGGTACCAAAACCCTACCATACCATTACCTACCACTGTTGCAGGCCGCATTCGACAAAGCGACGCCGCTTTGAGTGAACGTCGGAGAGACTCACGTAACTATCGTTCGAGTGAATAGAGTGCGCGTAGTCGATCGTGACGTGCAATGCCCAGGGCTCCGCGCGCCCCCGCACCCCTCGCTGGGCTATGGAGACCATCCTGGACAGGTTCAAGAGGGAGCCAGGAGGACTGCGTCGCTCTCGATCCGTCCGCGCCTCCTTGCGCCTGATCGGCAACCGCTGGCGGTCGACGAAGGAGGAGGAGCCGGTCGACGACATCGAAAATTTCAAAAGGAACAGTGTAGTGTTTTCGACTCAAATTTGGAACACCGAAAAGGATTACGACGTAGCGTACACAGGCATCGAAGGCACATACACGTCGACGACGCCGATCATGGCGCGACGGAAGCCAGAACCCGCGAAGCAGAGGAAGAAGAGCGGTGACATCGATTTGAATCTGAAACCCGCAAGGCACAGGAAAGTGGAGAAATCAAAATTTAGCGATCTGTTCACGAATAAGAAGCAAAAGAGCGCGTCGGCGAAAGATTTGTTGGTGCCGGAAAAGATTCCGCCGAAGGCCGCAGCTATTTTGCACATACACTCGCCTGATAAGGGGAAGAAGAAGTTGAAGGGTATAGGGAAGTCGGAGTCGGCGAAGAGTATGGCCGAGGTGATGCAGCGGCGGATGCGGCGCGGTTCGGAGGGCGACACATGCCCGCATCAGCCGCGCGGGTGCGTCAACCAGGCGTTCGTTTATAGCACCCCGCCAAAGGAGAGGAAGATACCGATGTCACCGTCCGCTTATCTGAGTACGTATCTAGCTTAACATTAATCTCGTGGTTTATAGGACTGCAATTAAAATTTTAATAGTATAATTTAAAACCGATTACGACACACTTGAAGACCTCCGGCTCTATTAAGTACTAAATGTCTAAAATTCAGATAGGTTAAGCAAAATACAAGTCCGCAATAAATATGGAATGGAACAAATACTTTTGTAAACATCACAGAATGAACCAAACGACTAGTTAATTGTGATAATTTATTTACTTATTTTAATTTAAAAATTCGCTTATTATAATTACGGTAGCTAACAAACGAAAGTATTACAGACATCACAAATTAAAATTAACTAATGTGTTTGTTTTACACCTTTAATGGTTTACCGTCAGTGTTACATAAGAGAGACCGGGTGCAATGCAGTGGCATAAGTTATGTCTGCGTATATTTTTTCGGTTTCGCGAGTGCATCGTGCTTGTCTATTGCAAGTCTGATATAATTCGTATTTCTAATTATAGCCTACCAGTCTGGATTTGACTTTGGTTTTAGTCTTTTCCCTAAAGCGTTTCCTATCATTTATGTTACTTGGCTAAGGATAAAATTAAACCCAATATTTTAACTTGGTTACTGGTTTTAAATACATTTCGTAAAAATGAGCAATTGTGATTATTCTTAATATTAATGTTATGTAAGCATAACTAAGCGTGTGTTTGGACGACTTTTACCGAAATGAATATCCCATTTCTTACATGCGGAAGTTTTGGTGAATGTTTGCTCATTACTCAATCACGGAAGAACTTCTGTCAGATATAATAATTCTTATTTATTTTTATTCGCGTAGCTATTTTTAAGCTTAAAAGCTACATATACATTTACAATATCAATGCGAACTGTTAATTTATTTATTTAATAGCTTGCGATTAAAACTAATTTTCACATTTTAGCGGGAATTATCTATAATTAATAATATATAGTTACTTAGTGATTGCTTCTTCCTTTAACCTCTTTCAAGTTATATTTTCACGACAATAAGTAGCCTATAACTATTCTCAGGCTCGATTTGTATCTACACCTAAATTCAGCGCAAACGAGTTCAGCGGTTTAGGCGTAAAAGCGTAACAAATTAATAAACTCATCGCATTTATGATATTAGTTAGGATATAGTAATGTTAACCACAGTACATAATTACGCAGAATATACGAATGTCTGGAATTCATTTGTTATTCGAATTACCACAAAGCGGAAGGAAAGCGGCATTTAAAATGTCACCGCTTTATCAGTATTAACTAAGTATTTGGAACTGTAACAGTAGGAAGGTATAATATTTGTTTGCTTTAAAATATTAAGCATAAGCAGTCTATAAATTAAAAAAAAACAAACTCAAAAATATCGAAGTTAATTTAAGATTTGAAAACAATTTTGCTTTCTGAACTCTCAGTTCTTTTGGCCTACAGAGGAATTGTTTGTTTTCTATCGTCATAATAAATTCTCACACAAAATTACCTAGATCGTACAACTGTGTGATTGAACGCGAACGATGGTAAAAACTCGTTATCAACAATAAAGCAAACTGCTTTTTCGGGCTCATGCATATTAAAATTACGCGAAAACCGCCTTTATACATTATTCGGGTCAGCGATCAATTGAAAAAGTCTCCTACCGTTAGAATTCACTTCAGGTGTTGCCAAATTACAAAATTAGTTTTTTTCAGCAGATTAAGTATTCTAATTCAATTAAACGTACACAATACAATGTAACAAACAAAATTGTACTTCTTTATCAACCTCCGTTATTAAAATCAAGTATTCTCTCTGTTTCCCCAACGATAATAGCATTTTTAACGTCATTATTTATCGATACGAGCGATGTGATGTTAATTTGGTTTGGTTACATTGTGTTGAAAACGTATTCATTACGTCACAAAAACAAGTTAAAATTACTGTGATTAATAATATTTTTTTTTGTTTTGTTATTTTGACTATCGCGATCATATTTTCTACAGTTAGTAGTTTATTCACTGCCTTTGAAATAAAGGGACTTACTTTCATCTCCATGGAAAGATGGCCTAAGTCCCAACAGTGAAAATACAATAATGGTAAGATGGATGTTGATGGTTGCATCCTTTCCATGCACCCACACGCGCTTGCAGGATGCACGCACGCATAAATTCCTTATTTCCATATATAAAACACGAACAAACATAATCGTGATTGTGTGATTTTATTTAACCTTTCCAGGCGTAGTTATTTTGTGTCGTATAACTGTTTCATCAGTATATCATTCGACATTATTTCCAGTCCGTACCAACGTGTATTCATAATCATAATCAAAATCATTTCTTCAGTTTAGGCTGTTACAAGCACATATGAATGTCTAGAAGCTACTCCATCGGTTCGTAAATCTACGGAGGGAGACCTTGTTCTGAGAAGAACCGGCAAGAAACGCAGCAAGGGCTGTTTTTTTCTCCCTGTTTTATCATTTACAGAGTCGTCAAGTTAAAAAATGACTTCAGAGATGATTCATGATGATAATTTGATTATATTTCTATGTTACTTCTATATTACGCAATATGCGAGCTTAACTCTGCAAATTCTACCTTTTGTTTTATTGCTAATACCGCATTTTTCCAAATTTTACTAATACATTACTGAGATAATACTACCACAAACGTCTGTCTGAGTCTGTCAAAGTCTGTGCTGATACTCTGTTTCCTGTACTCATTTTCCTCTCTATATCAGTAGTGTGCTGACCTTCCATCCCTGCTTAAACACATCCAAAACATACGATATCATTGACTTATTCCAGCACTACATGGTCAAACATAATCTGAGTGGTAGTTCTAATCCTTAGTATAAGATGTGTTGATATGTAGAACATAGTCCAAGTTCTTAAAACACTCATTTCTGAAACGTTACTTTCTTTCAAAACATTAATTTTACTTATAGCTATTAACGGGATTGTTACCATGTACCTTGTTTTTCATGAGTCTCCGATATTTCGGCACTGTTGTAAGCGCCATGATCACGGAGTAACTCCGCAATGTACCAAAGACCATGAAAGTTTAAAGCAATATATTAATTTTACTGTTTATCTTATCAGCTATCTCGCAAATATATTCGACTTATTGTGGGGCCATATTTGTATTGCTAAAAACATTTTAGCAGACGTCTAACCTTAATGTAGGTTGTAAATATGAAACAATTAGGTACTTCTATTTCAACCGCTCCATCATTAACTTCATCAAGCTTAATTATAAACATCCTCTGAAACGTTTAATTTATTTTAACCTAACCTTTTCTGAATATTGGATCTAATTAAATTACCTGTTTGCATAGTGATTGTTGCGTGTGTGTAAATATTTAGAATTAATTAGATAATCTATAAACGTTATCTAATAAAGTATTAACTAATAAGCAATAGCGATAAAATTATTAATAAATATCTATGATTTTCAATTTATCGAATATCTCACTTGGACAGAGCTCTTCCCTTCAGGTGTACGCATTTTCTGCCTTCCAGAAGGTTACAAGCCTGACATGTTACATTATTCTGTTAATTGTACTCCATTAATATACATATTTGTTAATAGATATTTGAGACATTATCAATCCTTATAATACGACCAAATGCTCAGAGCTTTAAGCTCCTGAGCTCAACAGTTTCGACGAACAACGTATTACACTATTCCATGGAAGTATATAGGTAATCTGTCCTTGGAACTAAATAATTATGTAACTTTATCGCTTTTAGCTATCTTATTTTGCTTTCACAAATGGAAGAGATTTTGAAAATTATGTGCAAAAAGTATATTTTTTCCTACAGAAAGAACCAAAGAATTTAGTAGTTATTTAATTTCAATTTAAATAAAAAACGAAGTAAATACATCGCTTTTTTCAGTTAAATTGAAAAGAGAAATTCCGTGCCGCTGAGTGTATTAAATAATGTTATATCTTATGTAAGATTTCGAAAATTATTTGTTATATTCCATGGATCCAGGATGGATCATTTTTTTTCAATAATGGTTCCCGACTGTTAAAGCAGGTTTGTTCCTTACTAAATAGAATTATAGACTACTAGACTTGTTTTTTCTTTTCAGTTTTTATTTCAAGTATAATTTATACATCTAAAGAAAATATAACTAGAAAAAATTCCACGCGGACCAGGCAGCAGACGGGACTCGAACCCGCACCCTTCGCAATCCGGGCGAATGCACTGACCAATTATGCTACCGCGGCCCTCACGGACCGCGTCGAAATTCCTTCTAGCTATTCTTAAGCTGCAAGGCAGCGCCATCTCTTCGCATTATAGGTAAACCCACAATGTCAAATGAATACTTTTACAAGTATTAAACATTTGAAAGAAGAAATTTTTCTAGTTATATTTTCTTTAGATTTAAACATCAAGCAGTTACATGCTTTAAAAATAATAAAAATTATAACTATAATTGCTATTTCTTCTTTCAAATGTTTAATACTTGTAAAAGTATTCATTTGACATTGTGGGTTTACCTATAATGCGAAGAGATGGCGCTGCCTTGCAGCTTAAGAATAGCTAGAAGGAATTTCGACGCGGTCCGTGAGGGCCGCGGTAGCATAATTGGTCAGTGCATTCGCCCGGATTGCGAAGGGTGCGGGTTCGAGTCCCGTCTGCTGCCTGGTCCGCGTGGAATTTTTTCTAGTTATATTTTCTTTAGATTTAAACATCAAGCAGTTACATGCTTTAAAAATAATAAAAATTATAACTATAATTGCTATTTCTTCTTTCAAATGTTTAATACTTGTAAAAGTATTCATTTGACATTGTGGGTTTACCTATAATGCGAAGAGATGGCGCTGCCTTGCAGCTTAAGAATAGCTAGAAGGAATTTCGACGCGGTCCGTGAGGGCCGCGGTAGCATAATTGGTCAGTGCATTCGCCCGGATTGCGAAGGGTGCGGGTTCGAGTCCCGTCTGCTGCCTGGTCCGCGTGGAATTTTTTCTAGTTATATTTTCTTTAGATTTAAACATCAAGCAGTTACATGCTTTAAAA